GGGGGCGCCGAAGCTGACTTCCGGCGGAAGGCGGTGGCGGGGCTGAGGCGGGGCTGAGGCGGGGCTGAGGCGGGGCTGAGGCGGGGCTGAGGCGGGGCTGAGGCGGGGCTGAGGCGGGGCTGAGGCGGGGCTGAGGCGGGGCTGAGGCGGGGCGGGGCCCGCTCCTGAGAGTCGATGACTTGGGGGTGCGGCGGGAGCACGAAGACCGTGGCCGCGGAGGCTCCGGAAAGAGGAGGACGTCCCGTGCTTCTCTGAAGAGGCCCTGTCGGCGGCCCGGACTTCGGGACACGGCGAACCTCCTGTTCAGGCTTTGTCCGGAAGCTTCTGCAGCTTCTTTGTTGTTTGGCTTATTCCTGACTGTTCTTTGAGATGGGAATGCAAATGAGGTCATTTCCTCCCCTTGGGGTTTAAAAGGGGTTATTGTTGTTACACTGGAGAGCTGTGAGTTTCTTTTTCTTTTTTTTAGATTAGAAAGTATAAGTTTATTTAGAATGTAAATTACAGAGAAAGAGGAGATTCACCTGAGAGGTGATTCACCATGGCTTAAGAGCACATGGCCACACCATAGTTTAGCAAGGCAATGGCCTGTTAGTTTCTCTACTTAGCCCTCCTACTGACCTTTATTATTTTTCTAAAAGCATTTTATTTGATCCTTTTGATTTTAACAGGGACGTCTACAAATAACAATTTTTTAAAAAGTTTAGATAGACCGGACTGGGTGGCTCAGCCTGTAATCCCAGCGCTTTGGGAGGCTGAGGTGAGTGGATTGCCTGAGCCCGCGCGTTGGAGACCCACCTGGGCAACTTGGCAAGACCTCATCTCTACAATAAATCAAAAATTAGCTGGGCGTGGTAGCACGCGCCTGTAATTCCAGGTACTTAGAAGGCTGAGGTGGAAGGATCGCCGAAGCCCAGCAGGTCGAGGCTGCGGTGCCCGGGAGCAGCCACTGCACTCCAGTCTGGGCGACAAGAGTGAGACTCCAACTCAAAAAAAAAAAAAGTTTAGATAGGGGGAACACATGCATATTCGTGATACAAATAACAACTTTGACATATTTTTCAATTTCACAATTTGTTGCTTTGGCTACATTCCTGCAGAACATTGTCAAAGAGCAGGCATTTGTGCTCAGAGTGATGTTAGTGGAAATCCTACCCTCCAACTATCAGCCCTCGGATCCCTGTCTCATTCTGGAAGAGACTACATTTGAAGACTCCTAAGTCTGATCCAAGTCCTTCTCTAAAACAGAAAACAGTGACTCTACCAGTTCAAATAAGCACCAGTTCCTCTGACTTGAAGACACTGAGGGCAGAGAAGAGTCAGCATCAGTGACCCAGAAGCCTCCATTTCAGTCAGAACCTAGGGAGTGACAGGAATGCCGGTGCTGATGATGGCAACTGACATTTTACTTGATTTATCTTGATGTCCTTATGTACACACACTTTGACTATACCCCCGTTTTCTGTACAGAATCCCAGCCTCACCTTTGTCCTCCTCCACCTGGAGTCCCCTCAGGTCACCTTTCCAGATTGGCTTATGTAACCACCGCAGCAAGGAATTCTGATGGGGGTATGTTTATTTCTTTTTTTTTTGAGTTGTAGTCAAAAAGCATGCCCAGCTAATTTTTAAATTTATTTTAGAGACAAGTTCTTGTCAAGTTGTCCAGGCTGGTCTCAAACCCGTGGGCTCAGGCAATCCTCTCACCTTGGCCTCCTAAAGTGCTGGGATTATAGGTATGAACCACCATGGCACCATGCCCAGTTCATGATTTCTTGTTTTTTGGGTTTTTTTGAGTTGAAGTCTCACTGTCACCCAGACTAGAGGGCAGTGGCACGCTCCCGGCCACCACAGCCTCAACCTGCTGGACTCCAGCGATCCTTCAGCCTCAGCCTTCCAAGTAGCCGGAACTACAGGTACGTACTACCACACCCAACTAATTTTTGATTTCTTGTAGAGACGAGGTCTCACCAAGTTGCCCGGGTGGGTCTTGAACCCACGGGTACAGGCAATCCATTTACCTCGGCCTCTCAAAGTGCTGGGATTAGAGGCTGAGCCACTGAGCCCGGCCCCAGCTCATCTTTTATAAAGAGAAGATCTTTCCTCCTCCCCGTGTCTATCTTCCCCTGATCTTCCCATCCTTCTCATTTGCTGGAAGAGGTCTAGCAAATCTTGGGAATGGGTTAACTCTAATAGACTCATGCTACCAGTTAGGATGTGTCCTGAGATGAGGACAGAGCCACCTTCCCTGAACTACCTTTCCTTCCCATGGGCTGAAGGAAATCAGGGCCCTCCCAGCAAGGAAGATGGGGATCTGGGTCTGTGCCTCCCAGTTACTTGGCAACAGGAACCCAGGAGAAAGTTGGGAGGTGTGAATGGGCAGAATGATTTTTTTTGTAATTTCTTTTCCCTAGAGGAAATAAGCTAAAGAAAGATCTCACAGGAGGCTGGAGTCGTCCTAGATTCTTAGCTGGGTACCCATCTCCTAAATTAACTGCATATGTTAAGTGGAAGTTAACAAAGAGCTCTAGCCACTCTTCTAGTCATACTTGTTTTCTACCTTCACCAAAATCCTGTTCTGCAGGTGGGCTCCTTAACTCTATGAAGTCATGAACATGAGCTTTGTTACCATTTGATAGGGCATGCAAAATATGGAGGCTATCTGTTTACGTACTTCAAGTGAGGCTTCACAGAGTGGAAACTGCTAGATGTATCCCTAATATCCACTCTCTCATTTCCTCTACTCACAAAAACCTGATTTGGGTAAAGCAGGCAACAGGCCCAATTAAAAATACCCCTCTCTAAAACGTGTGAAAAGAGGAAAAGAAAGAACACTTTATTTTTTTGAGTTGGAGTCCCACTCTGTCGCCCAGACTGGAGTGCCGTGGCACGCTCCCGGCCACCACAGCCTCGACCTGCTGGGCTCCAGCGATCCTTCTGCCTCAGCCTTCCAAGTAACTGGAACTACAGGCGCGCTACCACACCCGGCTAACTTTTTGATATATTGTAGAGATGAGGTCTCGCCAAGTTGCCCAGGTGGGTCTCGAACCCGCGGGCTTAGGTAATTCACTCACCTCGGTCTCCCGAGACGCGGGATTACAGGCTGAGCCACCAAGCCCAGCAGAAAAAACACTTTAAAGATGAAATAAAGGCCAGGCTCAGTAGCTCAACCTGTAATCCCCAGACTTTGGGAGGCTGAGGCAAGTGGACCAGCCCTAGCAACTTGGCGAGACCTTGTTTCTACGATAAGGAGCAACTTGGCGAGTTTGATTTATTGTCTCTACGCGCCTGTAATTCCATGCCTTTTTAACAAAAAGAGAACAGATCTTTTGGAGGCAAAAATATGTCACAGAATTCCAACATTGTTTTATCAGACTGTATTTAACTCACATTATTTTGGCAATCGAATAACCGAAAGTCCCTTTTAAATCAGTTTTGAGTTATAACAAGCAAGTCGATTTAAAGTATTTAGCAAATAAGACAGGATACCACATAGGGCAAAAATCACAAGGATGGGAACTGAGGCCTAGTGTGGGAAATACTTCCCTGGAATTTGCTGTTCCCCTTGCAGTGCATGCCTTTAAGTGCATGGTCTCCAACAGAGTTCCTCAGTTTTTTCAGGTTTCGAATTAAGCCGCAACTCTAGTCCCTAGCCTGCGTCCTCACCATCACCTCTACCAGTGCTGGATGGAGCACAACACCTTTCCGCAGACGTCCCTGGCCTCAGGACAGGGTGTGTGCCAGGTTCCTTTCCCAAGCCTGGGGGTGGGTGGGATGGAGTCATAATTCCCCAGGGTGGAGGATCTCTCTACTCACTTGTGACTGAAAGGCCACACCCTGGGCTTGACTGAGCTGGGCTGGGGTGAGTGAGCTGAGATCACCCGGGAACTGATCCCTAGCACTAGTGCCTAGGCGGTCCACTCCCAGGACCCCAGGCCCTTCCTGAGACCCCGACCACCTGCTCTGCCCTCCCCCAAGGGGCTGGAGAATGCAGGCCCCTCCCTCTGCTGAGGAAGGCTTTGTCTCCACCTGCTCAGGATGGGGCCCCCCGGGGGCGGCCCAGCCTAACTCAGGGGGCCTGGGACCCTTGTCTTGGCCGCAGCTGCCACCAACCACACCGCCAGCCAAGTTGTAGCCAAGACGGCTCGGAGTCTGTCCACACCAGACCGCAGATGCAAGGAACAGAGGAACTTCGCAAGAAGTTGCTCAGACTAGGTTAGCATCTGGTGGGCACGCAGATTGGGTAGTGCCATGAACTAACTGGGCAAGACCAGCTGAGGGCAGGCAAGGAGCTAACTGGCGAGGCTAGTCAGGTGGACTGACCATGTGTGATGGAGTAACCAGCGTGGCTGCTTGGGCAAAGCAGCGTAGGAATTGCACCGGGCTTCTGGGGCCTGGAGTCTGCGGCTTCTGCGGAGAAAGGCAGTGATGTCACTCTCGTGGAGTGACTGCACCTCACCCTTGCTGGGGTGACCCCAAGGGCCTTAAGGAGGCCTCGCAGAGCAGCTCTTAATCATTGTCTGCCGAACCTAAGTATTTTTGGACCAGAGCTTTAGAATGTTTTTGGGTGTCACACAGAACTCGAGAGCAAAGATAGAGTGGAACGAGGGGATGGAGTGAGGCATGTGCCATAGGCTCTGCAACCTGAGAAGGAATGTGACACACGGGCACAAAACAAATGTCCCAGCACTGCCTGCCAGTATCTTACTGCTTCACTTGGCGATGGGCTTTTGGCCACAGCACTTGCTTTCCTTGTGAGGAGAACCTCTTAGGAAGAGAAAAGAAAACAAATGCATATCCCATACTTGCCTCGGATTTTCAGTCCTCTGTGTTCCTCGAGATTTCCCTCCCCTGCGCCAAACTGTCATATCGAGCCCCAAGAAGAGGAATGACCCACTTATTCCACCTCATGTGGCATATTGCACCCAAGGTGCTGCAGCCTTGCAAAGAATCTGCTAGAACTATGTGACAATTTTCTTTCTTTTCTAAGGCAGAAAAACAGACTCTGCACAGAAATAGATATAGTTTATTTATCCACATTCTTTTACTCTTTGTCCATACACATAAATACTTTACAGTGGACCTAATATCAGTGCAGATTATTAAGTACCTGGCTTTTAAATTATTATTTTTTGAGTTGGAGTCTCACTCTGTCACCCAGGCTGGAGTGCAGTGGCATGCTCAGGCCACCACATTCTTGACCTTCTGAGCTCAGGTGATCCTTCCGCCTCAGTCTTCCAAGTAGCTGGGCCTATAGGTGTGTGCCTTCAAGACTGCCTAATTTTTCTGATTTATTGCCAAGTTGCCCAGGGTGGTCTCAAACCCCCATGCTCAGGCAGTCCTCTCACCTCCACCTCTCTAAGTGTTGGGATTATAGGCATGAGCCACCAGGCCTTGGCTTTTTAAACGTATTCATATTTCATTACTATCACTTTTAATGACTAAATTAAGGAATCAATAATAGCAAATTAGTCGACTGGGAAATTAAATATTTTTCTTCCAATTCATACATAAACAACAACTACCCACTACTTTTCTCATTTACTCATTATGTGCTGGGTTCCCTGGTTGTCCTTTGGTTTGGGGAATGTCCTCACTCAATGCTTCCCCTTTCACATTCAGTCCACATTCCCAATCAGGCCTGTGCAAGGTATATTGCAGGATCAAGGTGAAAAGGCAGTGCTTCTTCTATGGGCTTAAGGGCTATGAGGTAGGCTGTTTCTTCTTCCACTTCGTCCTATTGTGGGTTCTCTGGTGCCCGATAAGGTGAGAGCTCTGGGTGAAGGCTCTTCCACATTTCTTGCACACGTATGGGCGCTCCCCAGTGTGAGTCCTCTGATGCCTGATGAGGTGGGAGCTCTGGCGGAAGGCTTTTCCACAGTCTCGACACGAGTAGGGCTTAGCTCCAGTGTGAGTCCTCAGGTGCTGGGAGATGGCTGAACGATCATTGAATGTCCTCCCACATTCTTTACATTCAAATGGTCTCTCTCCAGAATGCACTCTCTGATGCTGTGTGAGGGAGGAGCTCTGAACAAATCCTTTCCCACAGTCTTGACAAACATAGGGCTTCTCTCCTGTATGGATTTTTTTATGCACAGAAAAGTATCTCGGGTTCCCAAATATTTTACCACATTCACTGCATCGGCAAACTTGGCTCTCCTTGTGAATTCTTATAAATTTAATCTGCTTAGCACTCCGGCTGAAGGTTTTCCTACAACCACTGCCTTCCTTGGGCTTTTCTCTTTGGTAGCTCTTCTGATGAATTTTTACATGTGAATCATGCATCATGCTTTTATCCTGTGAACCATGTTTGTACAACCGTTTTTTAGGAGAAATTTTCTGGAGTAAACCTTGGCTTGTGTCAAGAGCAGTGTTTGTCTGGGACTCAGAGTTTCCACTATGCTCTTTGTGAGGAAGGTCTTTTTCCTGAGCTAACCCCACCTGTTTCAATGCTGTATCTGGGACTTCCTGGACCCTACTCTGCAAGACATCTTCTGAGGTAGAGGATGAAGCACACTTCCTTGCAGATTCTTGTACTTTTGGGTTGTGGGCTGGTTCTTCCTCAGGAATGTCAGAATTTAGAGTTAATTGTTTATTTTCCAGTGTAGTCTCCCACCCTGAAAGAAATCAAAAGATGTAGATACCACAGAAGTGCTGAGATAGGTCTAACAATACAACATAATTAAGCAAAAGGAAGGATATTTTTCCAAATAGTCATGCAACCCGAGGAGAGACTGAAAAGCAGTGAAGCACCAAAAAGAGGAACACTGAACTTGGTGAACAAAGGATGGGCAGGGATGTTCTTCTACATCTCCACATTTCTGCCCTCTCACACACCCTTGAGGTGGACAGCAAGTCATTCCTGCACTGGACCTGAAGCTGTCTCTGTCCACCCAATGCTCCCATTCCTCCAGATCTACAGTTTCAGTTCAAGGCCCTGGATGGAGCAAGGGCCTCTTGAGGATATGCCCAGTCCTAGTGGCAAGAGCCCCAACTCTGAATCCCTGTGGCATACCAGTTCTGGGATGGGTGAAGTTGGGGGCATGGCCTTACCTACAGAGACCAGGTGCCCAAAGGTCTCCAGCATTATATCATGGTACTCCGTTCTCTCTGTCGGGCCCAGCAACCCCCACTCCTCCCGGCTGAAGTCCACGGCCACATCCTGGAAGGTTACTGGCTCCTGTAATGTCACATATGGGTCTGCTCAGCAGCGAGGTTGAGGGTTGTCAATGGGGAACAGAAGAAAGGCCAGCTGGGAAATTCCAACAGAGCTCACTGTGCTGGGGACTCTCTTGCTTTACAGATTTGCTCAAAGACACCAACTCAGGGCCTAAAAGAGGTACACTGGGTCCCTTCTCAATAAAACAGAGTCTAGAGCCCAGGCAGGGAGGCACAGTCCCTACTTCACAAAGAGCTACAAGTGCAAAAAGCAAACTACGTCATCCTAACCACACCTCTATCTAGTCTGCCCTGTACTGACACTTCTCTTCAGTCTTCTCCTGCTATGAATACTGCCCCCCTACTTGGTGGAAATGACAACCAAGTTCCTGTCTTTGTGGACAGAGCTGATCTGAAGTAGGGCAGTCACCCTGGCAGTGCCATGACTGGTCTTTTCTGGGGAACGGACTCTGGGACTCTGGGAAGAGGAGGTCCCCAGTCTAGTTTTGTAGGGATTTAGGAGGTATTTTGTCCACATGGGGCAGAATGTGCTTGAGAAGGAATGGTTGAAAGCAGAACCGTGAGACCAGAGTTGGTGAGGGATTCACTCCATCACCTGAGAACACAGGGATGCAGCCTTGTCTGAAGCCTACTTCAGAATACATGAGAGCCAATCCATTTACTTCTGTGTTTGAGCCAGCATAAGGTACTCAGAGTGCAAACAGCCTTGACCAATGCCACCTATACACCATCACCCCAATTTGAAGGACCAGTCCTGTAGGCAAGACAGTTACCAGTCCTCTTTCATCCACACTACAGCTCTGGGTTATTCTGAAGCAAATCTCAGACACTCAAACACACCTAAGTATGCATTTCTTTTTCTATTTTTTTGTTTTGAGTTGGAGTGACACTCTATTGCCCAGGGTGGAGTGCAATGGCATGCTCACGGCCACCACAGCCTCGACCTGCTGGGCTCAGACAATCCTTCTGCCTTACCTTTCCAAGTAGCTGGAACTACAGGTGTGCACTAACCACACCCGGCTAATTTTTATATTTATTGTAGAGACAAGGTCTCACCAAGTTGCTCAGGCTGGTCTCAAACCTCTAGGCTCAGGCAATCCTCTTGCCTCCGCCTCCCAAAGTGCTGGGATTACAGGCTTGAGCCACTGCACTCAGCCAAGTATGCGTTTCTGAAGGATGAGAGCTCTCGTTATAACCTGGAGATAAATGTGGTTGTCCCACCCCTGCCTGTGGTTGTCCCACCTCTCAAGTCACACTTGGTTGGTCACTTCTCTCTTGCTTTCTCAACTCTAGGGCACTGTACCCCATCTCCAATGCACCACAGTGGCAGGAGGGCAGAAGGGGACACTTCAGGAGTGGGGCCTGCCTCACAGGGGATGCAGGAATCAGAAAAGAAAAGAGTAACGCTCCCCACTCACCTCAGGCAGCACCATCACTGGCTGGATGGCCACATCCTCCTCCTGTTTCTCTTCCTGCAGGTCAGTGACCTTGAGACAGCAGACGGGGTCCTGGGCAGGCTGTGCAGGCAGTGCTGGTGGAGGCATGTGGTAGTTAGTGGGCGTGGTGATCCTTGGGCAGGGCAAGGGTAGCCTGTCTCTGCAACCCACAGGGCCACTGCACACCCACATCCTGCTGTGGCACCGTGATGGTCTCTGCTCCTGTCCTCACTCCTCACCAGCTCAGCTATCTGCCACTCCCCAGCTCCTCCTCATAGCACATGCCCAGATGTCCAGATGGGGATGAAGACCCCACATCGGATCAACCTTCATGACCATGGGGCATCCGTGTCCCCCACTGCCGAGACCCCTGGTTCCACTCCTCCTCTCTCTAGAGACTATTTTGGGCCCCAGACCCTTGCGTGAGGCTGCCTAATGCCTCATTAGAAGGTCCAGGGCTTTTTTTTTTTTTGAGTTGGAGTCTCACTCTGTCGCCCAGACTGGAGTGCAGGGGCATGCTCCCAGCCACCACAGCCTTGACCTGCTGGGCTCTGGCGATCATTCCACCTCCACCTTCCTAGTAGCTGGAACTACAGGCACGTGCTACCACTCCTGGCTAATTTTTGATTTACTGTAGAGATGAAGTCTCACCAAGTTGCCCCAGTGGGTCTCAAACCCGTGGGCTCAAGCAATCCATTCGCCTCAGCTTCCCAAAGTGCTGGGATTACAGGCTGAGCCACTGAGCCCGGCCCAGGGCTTCAATAATGCTGATTTCCACCTCCACCATCAAGGGGGACCCCCGATATGACCCAGGCTGGCCCACAGGCCATCACTTCTCTCCTGGCCAGCGACTAGATCTAAGATGAACACAGCCCATTGCCAGACAATCAGAGTCAATGAGGCTTTTGTGGGAACATTTGGGAAATAAAAATTTCATGTTGGGAAGCCCCACAGGGGACAGCCTGCCTATAAGTGATGTCAATGGAGGGAGAAGAGGTACAATATGGGAGAATGAGTCCTGAGGACACTACTGGAGCTCCTGGGTCCAGCTCTGCCTGATGTTAGGTCCTCCTTTAACTTTTTCGGTAAATTAGCCTTTTCCCTTGAGCCAGTCTGTGCAAGGCTTTGTGGCAGTCAGGCACAAGAGTCCCAATTAACACTGATCACAAAATGTGGGATTCTCAGGGTTCTCTGGAAAGCTCCTCCTACTGTCTTCTATGACACCAACTGACTTCATTCGTCCCTGAGATTAAACACAGAATGCAGTCACTGACTTGCATCTCATGAACTCCGTAACTGTCTCCTTGGCACTTATAGTTTCCTATTGATGCTATAATTTCAGTGACTCAAACTGACATAAATTCATCATCTTGCAATTCTGGAGACCCCTGGCACCAGGACACGCACCCATCTTGAAGTAAACTTCATTAAGTCTCTTCCACCCCAGAAAACAACCACCACATCTGGCCCCTTCCACCCACAGCTCCTTCATGTCTGACCTTCTGCCATGTGCCTCACTGGGCTAAAATCAAGCTGTGTTCCTTCTGGAGGCTCTATGGAAGAATTTCTTGGCTTTTCCAACCTCCAAGGCTGTCCCAAAAGGAACAGAATAGGGGCTGATAGCCCCTTCTTCTAGCAACCCTGCTTCTGTCATCAAATCTCTGACTCTGACGTTCATCATCCTGCCCTCTTCTTATAAGGACTTGGATGGTTACATTACACCCACACAAACAATCCACTGTATCCCCCATCTCAAGAACCTTAATGTAATCATTTCTGAAAAAGTTCCTTTTTGCCATTTCAGGTAACATATTCACAGGGTCCAGGTTTAGGACACCGACACCTTTGGATAATTATTCTGCCCAGTGCAGCATCCCAGAGACTCAAGGCATCTAAAACAGACAACTCATGCAACTGCCTGTTCTACCACTTCTACACCAGTTTCTCCATTCTGACCTCTCAGAATGCCACCACTCCTTTGCAGGATCCCTCCCTTCCCCTTAGTCATAAACATCAGCCAATCATTCATTCACTTTAGAAATATCTTCTGGGCACCTGTGAACATGGAAAAGAGATGAGCAACACAGAAGCATCCATCCTTCACGAAAGAGGCTGATGAAGAAATCAAGACTCTCAGAGTCTCACTCCCAAATACACCCCACACATGTGCTCTCTTTCGCTCACAACGACCATCACTCCTGTCCAACCCAAAACCCCTCAAAGGGCATGGCAACATCTCTAGGTAGGCTGTGTACATCTAGTCTTCCCCTGTCCACATGCTGCAGCCTGGTGAATCTTTAAAGCTCACATTCAATTTTGTCACCTGCTCCTGGAATTCAGAGTTCGATTTCCACTGCTTTAGAAAAACACTTTCCGCCGGGCTCAGTGGCTCAGCCTGTAATCCCACGCTTTGGGAGGCTGAGGTGAGTGAATTGCCTAAGCCCGTGGATTCGAGACCTGCCTGGGCAACTTGGTGAGACCTCATCTCTACAATAAATCAAACATTAAGCTGGGCTCGGTGGCTCAGCCTGTAATCCTGTGCCTTTGGGAAGCTGAGGTGAGTGGACTGCCTGAGCCCACGAGTTCAAGACCCGTCTGGGCAGTGAGACCTCATCTCTACAATAAATCAAAAACTTAGCCGGGCCTGGTAGCGCGCGCCTGTAGTTCCATACTTGGAAGACTGAGGCGGAAGGATCGCCAGAGCCCAGCAGGTCAAGGCTGCGGTGGCCGGGAGTGGCCACTGCACTCCAGTCTGGGTGACAGAGTGAGACTCCAACTCAAAAACAAAACAAAACAAAAAAAAAAACCAGAACAGTTATTTATTTATTCATTCATTTATTTATAGAAGGCAGGACTTATTGAGAGTTCATTCATTCATTCGTTCATTCATATATACAAAGCAGGACTTATTGAGAGGACAGAAAAACTCCCACAGTGGGAGGGGACCCGAAGGGGTTGCTCTAAAAAAAAGTTTTAACAAAATAGAGATGGGAATCTCACTATGTTGCCCAGGCTGGTTTCAAACTCCTGGCCTCAAGTGACCCTCCTGCCCTGGGCTTCCTTAAGTGCTGGGATCATAGGCATGAACCACCATGCCCTGCCTTCAAGCTTTCTTGATCCTAGCATTGTCACCTGCAAAGGAATTTGTCAAATCCCTGTATCTCTCACTTGAGTACAGGCTCTATAACCTCTGAAGTCCCATCTATCTTACCTAGTGCTAGAGGGGTCATACGGCAGCAGGGATACCAAGGGGATGGAAACGAAGTACTCTTATCTGTGAGCTTCCATCAGAAGTTTGCAGAGGGCTCCTTAAAAAATGCAGTGCTGGGGCCTGGCAGGGTGGCTCACGCTTGTAAACCCTGCACTTTGGTAACAAGAACTAATTGAGCCCAGAAGTTCAAGGTCAGCCAGAGCAACATAGCAAGACCTCAGCTCTACAAAAAAATAAAAAAATTAGTTGGACATGGTGGCATGTACCAGTAGTACCAGCTACTCAGGAGGCTGAAATGGAAGGATAACCTGAGTCCAAGAGGTGGAGGCTATGGTGAGCCATGATTGTGCCACTACGTTCTAGCATGGGCAAAAGAGTGAGACCTCAACACACACACAAAAAAATGCAGTGCAAGACCTTCCCCTGGAGGTTTCAGTAGCTCTGACTTGGGAACACACATGTCCTTAGTCTGCATGAAGTGGGTATAACCCTTTCTCCAACCCTTCCAGGAATCTTGGAGTTCTTATCTCACTGCAGGTTCCTCCAAAAGATGCTAGTGAAGCTATTCCTCTTCCACCACTGCACTTACCTTCCTCCTCAGATATCCAGGTCACATCCTCTACCAGGGCCACTACCTTCTGGCAGTCCTCAGGGTGTTGCGATTCCACCCACGTCCGGAGCTTTCCAGGCAGAGTGCCCAGGAATTGCTCCAGCACCAGCAGCTCCAGGATCTGCTCCTTGGAACGCACCTCAGGCCGCAGCCACTGGTGACACAGTTCCTGAAGCTGGGCCAGGGCCTCTCGGGGTCCTGTCACATCCTCATAAGAGAACTGCCGGAACCGCTGGCGAGCAGTCTCAGGGTCATCTGGATGCTTGTCCTGTTTGACTGGCTTCCTGAGGGCATCTGGGCTCAGGCCCCTGTCTTCAGCATAGAGGGCCCGGATCTGGTCATTCCGGGGGCCAGCCACCTCCTGGTTCAGTGTGAGAACTTCAACAACCTCTATATTTGTCAAGGGATTCTTAACAGGAAGAGGATCCAAGTGAGGGTCCGGCTGAGGCCCAGGACATTCTGTAAGTCAAAAGTAGAGCAAGACAAATGGCCAATAAACACATGAAAAGATAGTCAACATCACTACCCACCAGGAAAATACAAGTTAAGACCACAGTGAAGTATACTTCACACCCACTAGAATGGCTACTTTCAAAGATAGATAGTAGTAACAAGTAAAGATGCTGAAAAACTGGAACTCTCATATACTGCTGTTGGGTATGTAGAATGCTGTACCACTTTGCAAAACAGTTTGGCAAATCTTCAAAAGTTAAAGAGTTACCAAAAGACCCAGGAATTTCCATCCTAGTATATATATCTAAGAAAACTGAATACACCTGTCCGCAAATACTTACACAAGAACGTTCACAGCAGCATTATTCATAATAGGCAAAAAGTGGAAATTACTCAAATGTCTATCAACTGAGGAATATATAAACACATTGTGACCTATTCACAGCAAGATATAGAAGTAAAGTACTAACACATTGCACAACACAAATGAAACTTGAAAATATTAGTAAGTGAAAGAAGTTCAGACACAAAAGGCCACATATTATTACATTTACATCAAATGTCCAAAATTCATAGAAAGATTAGTGATTGTGAGGAGATGGAGAGATTAAGAAATATTAGAGTATAATTGCTAATAGGTATGAGATACCTTTCCGGGGCGATGAACATGTTCTGGAATTAGATAGCAGTGATGGCTGCACAACTTTGTAAATATATTACAAAACAATGAATTGCACTTTTTTTTTTTTTTTTTTGAGTTGGGAGTCTCACTCTGTTGCCTAGGCTGGATTGTAGTGGCATACTCACGGCCACTGCAGCCTCTACCTGCTGGCCTCAGGTGATCCTTCCACCTCCGCCTTCCAAGTAGCTAGAACTACAGGCATGTGCCACCACATCTGACCAATTTTTTTCTTATTTATTGTAGAGACAAGATCTCATCAAGTTGTATAGGCTGTTCAGGCAATTCTCTCACCTTGGCTTCCCAAAGTACTGGGATTACAGGCTTGAGCCACCACTCCCGACCTTATTTTTTTCTGAGTATGGGTCTCATTCTGTCAGCCAGGCTGGAGTGCAGCCTCAACCTGCTGAGTTCTGGTGATCCTTTCACCTCAGTTGCCTGAGTCCCCATGCTTGGCTAATTGTGTGCGTGTGTATGGCCCAGGTTGGTCTCGAACTCCTGTACTCGAGTGATCCTTCCACCTTGCCTTCCTAAATTACTGGAATTATAGGCATGCACCACCGCACCCAGTTGAACTGTACATTTTAAAGAAACAAACTTTATGGTATGTAAATTACATCTCCATACATCTTTTATTTTGTAAAAAAAAAAAAAAAAAGCAATAAGGGTTGAGAAGGGACCCCTGACACTGTATGCATGTACACGTAGTTGTACCATCCCCACTGGGGCCAAGAACGAGAGTGCCTGGAAAAGATAGGGACTCTGGGTCCTGGTACAGAGTCCACAAGAGAAAGTCACTGACCTGAACTCTATGATAACCCTAAAATGCTAAAGGGAAAGCACAAAGCAACAGGAAATGAGAGCTCTTGAAAATCATAAACAGAAATGCTAATTCTAAATAAAGGTTTAAAGCATAAATACAAAAACGTGAGTAACTACAGACTATGCCTTATTTTTAAATTATATTTGTAATGTTTAATGGCATCAATGTCACTGCACTTTCACCTTTGCTCCTCTAAGCATAAATGGTTAGCACAATTTTACCAGGAAGTAGCTCAGCCTGAACTCAAAGCTTTAGCAATGAACACATGGATGCTTTCACTGGATGGATCTACTTATGGTCAGGGAGTTTTTCAGAGATGAAGACAGATATAGAAGCACCAAGAAAATACATATAAAGGCAATACCAAGCCACATGAACACGACCTTGAATCACAATCTCTGTGGCAACAGGCCTAGAAGGTCAGGACTTGCATAATGACTTCCAACATTCTTTTTTATTGCCCCTCCAATCAGAATCTTCTCTTATAAACATATATATCTTCCCACTCCCTAACTGCTTTGAGTCTCTACCAACCACAAAAGGCAGTGGCTGAGTCCTACATTCGGCTCTTAGTAAATCTCTGCGTGTCCTCATTTGAATGGTCTGTCTTATTTCCACAATATGATTCCTGAACGACATACTGCAGCAAGTTAGAGCAAAACTAGAGTCACAAGTACTGTTAGAACATGGCTCAAAAAAAAAATGGCTAAAAATTGCCCTGTCAACAGTGTGTTATTTATTTAAACGTGATTACTATAAAGTTGTTTTTAAAAAAAACAACAAAAAAAAACTTCTGTCACGTGAAGAAAGAAGACAGGAAATTACTAGTGTGGAATAGCTAAGCCTGTATTAAAAGTAAAAAACTTTTTTTTTTTTTTGAGTCGGAGTCTCACTCTGTCACCCAGACTGGAGTGCCGTGGCCGCTTCCGGTCACTGCAGCCTCGACCTGCTGGGCTCCGGGGATCCTTCCGCCTCAGCCTTCCAAATAGCTGGAACAATAGGCGCGCGCTACCACGCCTGGCTGATTTTTGATTTATTGTAGAGATGAGGTCTCGCCAAATTGCCCTGGTGGGTCGAACGCGCAGGCTCAGGCAATTCACTCACCTCAGCCTCCCAAAGCGCTGGGATTGCAGGTTGAGCCACAGAGCCCGGCTAAAAGTAAAACACTTTTAAAGGGCAGCGGCAGCATGCGCACCAAACGTCTGGATCCTCCTCGGCGTTTGCATCCTCCCAAAGCCTGCTGAACCTGTTGTCACCGCACTCAAACAGCGTGGGGCTGGACTCCAGAAACGGCGTTCCCGCATGGCGGGCCATGGTAGCCTTATTCAGTCACTAACGCTTCCGTCTCCCCACGCGCGCGACGCCCTCAACGCCCCTACGACCACGCCCCCGGACCTCCCGCAGCCGCCACGTTCGGCCAGGCC